CACACTTGGCTTGTCGGTGTTGGTGCGGTGGACACGAGCGTCGTAGGCCGCAGCGGCAGAGGCACTGCGCCAAATCCTAGTACATTTCAAAAGAAATAAAGAACGTAATTAAAGCTTTTTAACTATTCATAATTATGTTTACTCCTAGAATGCCAAAAAACTACGCTTATTTCGTAATAGGCAATGTCAACAAAAGAAATGAGCACACAAGTAATTTTCGAATAGTGTGAACTTGCAATTGATCAAAAAATTTGACAATAGTCGCAGCTGACGACTTTGTGGGTATCATATACAAACACAGTGGTGTACGCCCAGGTACAAGCGCCTCGCCCTTCGCTTTGCGCTGACGGCCATGTCACCGACATAAAACAGCTTAAGCTCTCTAAGGAAGCGCCCCGCATCGAGTCAGGAAGTGGGTCTGCACCTGTGTCGGAGGTATCAGTGGGTCCTAGCGGTGGCATTTCAGGCCCGCCGGCGAGCTGGCAGGTGGGTGGCCTGGTGAGGCTGCTAAAAATACCCGACAATCCGTTATCACCGCTTTGCATGCAGATCGCCTACGCACGGGCGCCGCTGCGCAAGCTGCCGCAATGCAGCCAGAGCTTGTGGCCAGGGCAGACCAAGCGCGCTGTTAAAAGATACAGTATTTCACATTCTAGGTTTTCTCCATTTTAAAACTTTCGTCGTTTGGAAGCATAGTTGTAGTCTTTGACGCATAACCTATTTTTGTTCCCTTTAGAATGCTATTTTTTTGTTATGTTTCTGTTACATTAGCTCAGTACAGTACAGTGTGAGATGTTGCGTTACGAATTTTTTAGCGGTAACGTAACGAACGAAACGCTACGGCCAAAGTAACGAATTTATTATCTCCGTAGCCCGTATTCCCACACGTAAAAGAATAAAAATGGAAAAAGTTGATTTCTGCGCATGGCAGCCATCCAAATGACGAACAAATAACAAGGACAACATTGGACAAATTGTCTATTCTCCAGACCTTGTGAATCAGGGTGATATTAATATTTTATTGATGTGCTCAGTTTTCCTCGGGAAACGTTTGCTGGGCAGTTGCAATTACGTTGGATATCCAGGCCCTGCTAATGGGTCGGAGTAGGGCCAGTCTGCAGTGCGCGGCCCCTCGGGTCGTTCCAAACAGACGAGTGCGTCGTGCAGCTGTGGCCCCATTGGCATCCACACTACAAGCTCTGCCCCGCATCCGAATGAAACTAGAAAAAAAAACGGAACGCGTAATATAGCAAGCCCCATATAAAAAGACGTACATGAATTTTGCTAGGGGACCGAGCAAATCATCCTAGTTTGCTACCGGCGTCTTGGTATGTCTGGTCTCTGTATGGTTTTTACCGAGTGGCTTCCAGTTGACAAATAATAAGACTCAACGATTGAAACGTTCCTTTTGTTACTGCTGCTTTAACCCCGTAATTTATCTAAAAGGTCACGGTGGCTTTGGAATTGAGCGTCGTTCGTTTGCGACGAAACCAAAAGGACAAAATGGCGGCATGTTGTAAAGATGTTTAAAATCCTCTGCAATTTTTAAAGCATACGTGCTCTCGTGCCGCATTTCACAATATCTCAACAAAGTTCTTGCCTTTTCACATTGCGATGATTTTTCTGCCCCAAAATTCCCCCACCACCCCCCTCTTCAAAATGTAGAATACAATACTGGCAGCAATGGGAGCGGTGTATGAGGACTTACCGCTGGCCCGGTACGTGGGTTGGTAGCATTGCCGCGCAGCCTTGAGTGTAAGTTGGTACCACTGTGCAGCCGTAAAGGGGACGGCAGCCCGATGCTTTCCAAAGCAAGAAATATATCGCACACCCGCGGTGGAATGGTCGCAGCACACCCTGACGGTAGGGTCCCCACCACGGCGCTAGATAGGTCGATGCGTCGTCTGGTCAGAGGTGCAGGGCGGTGTGGGTCAATTCCATCTCTACCTTAAAGCTTCCCGCGGGAAGCACTGGGAGCAGCGGTACCGCTTGGCCCTCCTACAACATACAACCCTTTACTAAAATAGCAGACCTACCTATCATCCCTGATTCAAAAACGTCTCTTTCCTACGGCTGTGGAGGATCATGATTGCACATTGCCAATTTAGCTCAGTGTTTGAGACGGCCGTGATCTCGGTACGAGACGCCTCCCTAGATGAAATCCTAGCTGCAGTTTACTGATAAATTTGAAGGTCCGACTGAAGGCACTGACTTTACCCGCTTTTAACTGACCGACCTGATATTACCCGATTTTACCCGCTCTTACATGAGGTTACAAATTTATAGTCATCATGTACCGGAGCTGAGGAACGACTACTTTTCAGCCACCTTCAGTTGAAATTAAGTTAATATCAGCTAGAGTCGAGGACCGATATTTTGCTGCCATTTCATGAGATCGAACTGAGCAGTGGCTTTTGTGCACCTTGCTTTAGGCTGCGATCAGCTGAAGGTCACTTTAGGTTAGATCAGCTAGAGAGGATCAATGAACAGTCAAAATCCGGGACTGAATCATGTTGACAATCAACTGAATTTTGCTGTAAGACACGCGGACCGTGTATCAGCTAGACTTCAGCTTTCTTCAGTCCTTATTTTCGTCTGATTAAACGTAGTGGTTTTACTGATGTTTGTAAAGACCGCCAACCAGAAAGATCAGCCCTTTCGCATTTTATTTCAGATGTGAGCGGCAGACTGAAAACAACAGCTTTAGAACTGAACTTACACTGTCATTCAACGAATGTGACGTCACATTCGTTTCAATGTGAATCGTATCACGTTCGTTTAAATGTTGTGTCACATTCGTTTAAACGTGAATCAGCCAATGCCAAGCCAATGACTTCTGATCTAAATTACCACAATGTCAGACGCGCTCAAACCGTCAAGCGAAACCTTCCTCCCGCGAGCACCTGTGATACGCTACATAGGCAATCGTGCCGATTGCAAGTGCTTCGCTGATTGGCTTAGCCATGTTGTCATAAATGAAGTACACATTTGACACAATGGTTGTGCATGCGTGTGCATAGGCAACCCGGCCCCTGGTCTGCGGTAACATACACACACGAAACTTTCTGTTCTTTTGTTAGATATGAGAAAAGTGTGGTGGTGCAATTAGATAGAAATCCCACAAGGAGCTCATTAATTAGTAAATAAATAGGGGAAGGGCGTAAGAGACAGAAGATTTTAATAGATTTAGCATAGGGTGGTTCAGTTTAAGTTAAAGTTAAGATACAGTCTCTTTACACTCAGTTGGGCTCTCTCCCTTACCTCTTGTGGTGCTTGTTCGATGTACCCTGCCAGGTAGTGCAGCGTGCCACTCGCTTGCTCTGCCGGACCACGTCTGACGCTCGCGACAAGTGGGCACCCCTAAGAAGCCTCCGCCTGGTGGGCGGGGGTGGCCAAGTGGGTACGCACTGTTTGTCGCAGTGAACGTCAGAAGCGAGTTCCAGTTTCGCGTTCGCTAAACAATTCGCTCGCTCGGTGTTGGTGTGCCACATTAAAGTAGCACAATGTTACACTTTTGGTCCGGAGGGCTCAGGAACCCCTAGGAGCGGTTCCCGCGATGCCCGGATACGGGTGCCAGCAGGCAACACGAGGGCAGTTGCCCCGGGCCTGTTGCCCAGCGCCGCCGACCGCTATGGGCGACGCCGACGCGCGCGTGTTCTGCCCGGAGTGGCCTGCCTGAGCACGCCCTGTGCACGTGCACGCGTTATGCCCGTACAGGGCACGAGTTTGCCCGTTTTCGCCCATATTCTCCCGGATTCTGTATCAAAGGTGTGTGTGCGGACTGTACCCGTCAGACGTAGGCATATCGATCTCACGCGGATGTAGGGCGGCACGAGCCAGCTGAGTGAGCGGCTTGCCCCAACCACTCACTGTGGCGCTTCTTCAGATGTCCACTTTTGTTGCAGTAAAAAGAAACCTCTGTTCATAAAACTCTATTCTTGATCTTGCGGGAAAACACTGGTAAAATAAGTGCTTAGTTTTGCACGTCAATTGACGTTTAAGTTGAAGTGTGCATTTTCTCGACACTTTGTGGTGTCTAACTATGTTATACGTCAATTGGTGTCTAAACTTTCAACACTTCCGAAACGTATAGCAGCTGCACACCGTATGGTATCTTATTGACAGCATAGAACTGTGTGTGTCCAAGTGCGCAGAATTTAAACGTTTACAAAACGTCTAAAATTTGCTCACCACCCAAGTGTGCAACTTGAGTTACACACCATGTAATGTGCAAAATCACAACTTGCACACGTTTGGTGTGCAAATATTGCACACTTGTTTTACCAGTGCATCGTTGCGATTTTACCATGTCACCATATAGTGCAGAGATGCTTTAATCCCGAGCAACAGTAAAGTAAATGGACATTTCTACCCCTCCAGTTAATTACAACCTATCCCACACCCACGGCGTCCCCACACACCTATAGCGTCGCTAGTCTCCTAGGTAACCAGGCTCAGTTACACAGTGCGGGCGCGTAGTGGGTGGGTCGGGAGGCGGCAGGGGTGGGTAGTGCTACGGAGCCGGCCGGCTTGCCAGTGTAACCCGGCCTTTGAAATAAAGATCGACGGGGCGCTCACCTTATTCGGCTTTGAGGAGACCCGGAAGGCACCCCGCTGTTTTATAAGTGCCATAATATTTCGTAGTAAGGGAAGGGCATTGTACAGATTCTTTGTCACGATGACGAAAATACCATGGCTAATTTTTAGTGCAGGGGTGTCGTCATAGGTTTTTTCGTCACATCATACGGGTTTTCTCATTTCGTGACGAGAAAACCCATGACGACACCCCTGTACTAAAAATTAGCCATGGTATTTTCGTCATCGTGACGAAGAACTTTTACAGTGGGGAGTAGAAGAGCGTACTACATTTTTGTAGCCATTTTTAAAAATTGACATACATGCTCTCACACGCAGAAAACTCCTTGCGAAGGATTTAACTACTTTGTAAGCCTACGAAGTAATTTTTTCGTTTACTAACGGTATGTTCCTTTCTGTTTCAGGCTTTCTATCATGGGATTCATCCGAGTGTCATGTAGATTTGGAAAAGGAGCTATCAACATTGAGCAGCCTTGCACCAAAAGGCGAAGAATCTAGAAATGGTAATATTTGCATTTGTCAGTTTTTACGTTCTAAATAGTGGAATGTTACAGAAAATATGCTTTAGTGGTGTAATAATTATGGGAAAACTAAAAAAGGGAAAGGTGGAAATATGCCCATGCTTATGCAATGGATTTCAAGTGTTAATCCAGAGACTTTATTTCCGCACCGTGACGGCTATTTGATGCCCACCCAGGTTCCATGTTTTTGGATTGCGTTTATATTTTAACCAACCCCTTTTCTTTTTTTCTAGGAGAACGTTTAGTTCAATACGCATCTGAGAGCCTTGTTACGGAAGTGCTCGTTCACCCACAAGTAAACACACTCTTGCAATGTGTTCGAAATTTGCTTTCAAGTTTCACGAGGCATCGACACATCCTTCACGCTGGTTATACATTTGCAGGCACGGGATCTTGGATTTTACAGGTAAGTTTCTCGATGTGTGCTTTGCAGATCGTGTTTGCATTCCTTAAAACATGTTAATTACTTATTTTTTCAGGATGGAACATTCTCCTACGCTGATCTTTCCGAGCTCTTTCACGAACCAGATGTGCAGCGCGTCTTACGCGCATACGAAAACAGTGTATCTGTGGACGTGCACTGTTGTGCCGAAGGCCCATGGCGTGATGCGTCTGCTTCGGCGCAGCCGTTTTCACGGTACTGCAAAGTACGCGTGAACCCACCGGATGTACTTACTGCTGGAAGTTCCGCTATTACTAGCTTTATAGGTAAAGTCTTAGGTCATGATCTACATTAGAATGTTTGCGCGTGCGAGTTTGAAAAAAACAACGGAAAGTTTAATAGCCTACCTGCTCTGTTTAAAAAAAACTTCAATTTCACAGGAAATTTTTAAGCGCAGTTGTAAAATAATAATAATTGTCATAAAACTAAAAAACAAAAACAAACAGGTCGTTCCGCATTTTAACATCTGACACATATTTGCTTTTTTGGGGCAGTGGCTCTAAAACTACAAAATAGCTGCACTTATCATGTTTTTTCTTTTAATTTGAGGACCTCTGTTGGTCTCTGTCTACACTTTGCAAGCAGTGTTTCAAATAAGACCTGTGGATTTGTAAAAATCATGATAACTCCACAACCCTGCTGTAATTTTACAGTGCCGCCATTATTTTACAGTTGTGTCACTAAACTTACGGGCACTGTAAAAATAAATTTCGTGATTTCACGAAATTTTCTCGGTTAATTTTCTAGTACGAAAACTTCGTTTTCAACCAATTACGATACATCGTTATTTTACGAATTGCTTCGTAAAATCCAAAGCTCTAACTAAGAAATGAAATTTGCATATATTTTGTCAAATTTTATGACATATGACCCCAAAATTATTTGCATTCGTTACGAAATATATTTGTAACTTTACGAAATGTTTCGTAAATTGGCCCTAACAAAATATTTTCGTAAATTATTTTTTACGAAGCATTTCGTAACATTTTTTTTCATAAAATCACGAGAACTTTTTACAGTGGGTCCAGTAATAAATTTAAATTACAGCTCCTAATATGAAATGATGTATTACGCATTGGGTTTGGGTTGTTCAAGATTGTAAAATGGTCAGCTGTAAAATTACACTATATTCTTTTACAGTGTAGTTCATTAACTTTAATTTTTAAAGAAAACGATAAAAACTGCTTCCTTACAGATTATGTTAGTGAATTCGTGGAGCCTGCAGCCCTAGAATCTTTGCTAGAACCAAGTGACGTGGTTGGCAATATTCGCTTCAGTCATCCGACCCTGTATGTTTTCCCTGGTGGACAAGGGGATGCTGCACTCTTTGGTATTAATGGATTCAACATGCTGGTAACATCACACTCACGATATCGACACGTAATTAAAATCAAAACCTACCTACTACTTTAAGGTACACGTATCCACTGTTCCAGGTCGATGGAGGATTTGGCAGAAAATCGTGCTTTTGGGACTTCGCTCGCCACCTCGATAGACTGGATGCTGTCCTACTTACCCGTTTGAACAACGCGAACGCTCACGGACTCGCATCCCTGCTTCGAAGAAAGCGGAATGCACACGTCTATCCCCAGATCGGACATTTCTTTTGTAATTTACAGGTTTGTTTTTGTGTTCTTATCGGGAACTGAGCGCGGGGCACTATGCATTTAGAATATCGGTTATCGCGGTAAACCCTTGGACCTGAAAACAAAATGTAAGGGGGGATCAGCATTAAAGCTGTGCGAATCAAGGTTTTTTCCTTCGAATCAAATCACACAAATATTTTCCGAATCGAAGTGAATCTTCCAAAATCCAAGTTCGAATCGAATCCAGTACAAAATAATGAAAATTAATGAATAAATTCAAAATTTTCGAGTTTTGAGCTTATGAAATTATGATTTTGCCGTAAAGTTTTTCTCAGGATTACAAGCTATGCAGTTTCGCATTGCTTTATGTCATAGTTCGTTGATTCGAGGTCGAACGGATCCCGTTCGAAATTTTAAATTATTCGAGTCCGGCCCGGGAGCAATGTGAGTATACGACGGGTGGGCGGTGGGTGGGTGCGGCACTGCCGCCAAGAGAAGTTTAGTGCGGGGAAAGGGCATCAGAACACCACACTGACAAACTGAGTGTTCAACTACTCAACACTTGTAAGTGTGCAACTGCAAGTTGAATACTTGCAAGTGTGCAAATCCGTAGTTCTACGCTTGCAATTGCTTAACTCGGTAGTTTGTACACTTGCAAGTGTTCAACTCGGTAGGTGTGCACTTGCAAGTGTTTAACTTGCAGTTGCACACTTGGAAGTGTTGAGCAGTTAAACACTTAGTTTATCAGTGCAAGCGTCAACCAAAGCCGGCGTGCGTCTCAACTGGGAAGATTTTCGGTCACCTCAGCGGGCCTCTGGGTCGATTGGTTGTATTTACCTGGCCAAGTGGAAGGTTCAGATCCTCCTAAATTTAGGCCTGCCTCAACCATTGCGCAGGGTCGGGGTCTCGATCTGACGGCTCCCTACCCCTTGACACTCTCTAGTTACTTTCTGACGTTGCCTTTCTAAAAATGTAATTCTGAAACTAGTGAAATGCCCTATTCGTGTCTGGTAATTCATTGAACCGTCCAGCCCGGTACTAAAATTTATTTTTGGTGCAGGATCGGAAGGTTGTGACATCGCCGGACGGAGACAAGGACAGGGACAATCTACTTGTCAGCTTAGTTGAAGAGGGCCAAGAGATGGTTCTCAACTTGAGAGAGCTGCACCTGAAGCCATCGCCATGCTACCGCGACTCAGTGGTAGAACCTGTCAACCTATACCACAAGGTGTGTTCCTTGAGAGTTCCTTTTAATTCATTATTTTTTAATATTTTCTTGTAGTAATCCTATTTATGGGTGACAGGTTGGGCACGGGAAACTAGATATGTACGTAGTGAGTCCTGCTCGCGATTCAAGAGAAGTAAAAGAATTCTTGGCCAGATGGGCAGCCAATGATGCAAAGCTATTTGCCAGCCACCTTAAAAAAGATGCACGAGATTTCCAGTTTCCATTGCAAAATATGGTCTCAATATGTGCCCTTCTTGTGTGGCAACCCGCTAATCCCCAGGACACCATAACAAGGATTCTCTTTCCAGGAAGCACACCTCAAGTAAAGATTTTTGAAGGGTTAGATAAAATTCGTCATTTGGAGTATTTAAAGCATCCAAGGTGCACAGCAAAATCTCTCTCTCCGTCACCATCTATTGTTAGCTTAAGTGCCAAAACACAAGCTAGAAAGTACACCCCTACTGTACTAGACAAAATAACGCCAGGGGAACAACAAAAAACCTATACGCGGACCGTGCCAACATCAGAAACAAACAAACACCATGTTCTCAAAGCGGCTACAATTCCGATTGCCGGTGGAGTTCCTGATACTAAGGTTTACCGGACAACAACTACTTCAACCTTAAACACTAAAAGCCAACTCATAACAAAAAAAGTTGAAAAGAGCAAAACTGAATCAGAGAAGCAAGAAAAAGATTCTGTTTCTTCGGAGAAAAAACTTGAAGACCTTCAAAATAATAAAGAAGAAAAGATGAAGGAATCTCTTCGTGCCCGCTCCAAACCCCGCCAATCGTCGCATTCCAAGGAAAGAAAAGTGCTCAAAGCTCAAACAAACGAGAAGAAAGATGCCGGAAAGAAGGAAAAAAAAGAAGAAAGGACTTCTCCTACGACCCCGAAGAGAATTCTAGATGGTAAAGTTAACGGTGCTTCCACCCGGTCGGAAAGCACTACTCGGGTGTCAAATAGGTCAAGCAGTAAGACTCGTCGATCACCCTCTGGAACTCCAGCAAAGAGTGCCAAAGAAGCAAACAATAGGAAAGTTGCTGAATCCAAAGTCCAAACGTCTAGGGCAGTTTCGCTTTCCCGGACTGGTACGTCTAAAACGTCAAAGAGAGAGGAGATCGTTGAATCGACAGGAAAGGTAAAGCAAGTGGACAAACCGATCAGCAAACGGACAAAGCCAGCTTCTCCTAGTAAGACGATCAAACTGCTAGGATCTCCGGCAAAAGCACAGCCAAAAGCAACCGGAGTCAAAACCACACTTCGGAAATCAAGAGCGAACGACAAGGATGCAGGTGTTAAGAAAGGAGAACCTCAATATGGAGATAAGGAAAAGATAATTTCAGTAGTCTCCGACAAAGGTGACGGCGTCGCGGACAATGCCCAAGAAGAGAAAACGTTTGCAAATGAGGATGTGAAGAACGTTATAGTTGAGATCGTAGACACTAATGTTACCGAGGAAGGCAAACAAGGTCTCCCTGTGGACGAAAGTGCTTCTGTACCTCCTCAATCAGCTGCAAGTGAGGAGGACGAGAAAAAATCTGAAGGGGAAATACGGTCTATAGAGGGAGAAGAAGAAGAGGAAGATGAATATCTCGTAATTGAAAAGGAGGAGCCATATACCGAAGAGTCATTCCAAGACCAGTTGAGCGCCGAGTCTCATGCGCCGGTAGCAATGGATGACCGCGGTGTGTCCGATGATGATGGTGAAGATGAGAAGTTAAAACGTGATACGCAAGAATCGGAAAAAATAAAAGAGGTGGAAAAGCCGCGCAAAAAGTCCGAACCAAAGCTTACAATGCAGTTGACTGATAAAGAGCATGCTGAGCAAATAGCTAAGAGTAGTACTGAGCAGGTACAGGCCGCTGAAAGAAAATTGAGTTTGAAGCCTGCCAGTGTGCTTAGCGAGGCTCTTATAAGCCCTGGGGACAAGGAAAAGTTATTTGAAGAAGTACAAGGTATTATAACGTCCGCTACAGAACTAGTGTCGAAAAAAGAAGAAAAGGCATCGCCAGTAGAGGATGGATTAAAGAACGCCGACGAATCAAAATCAGAAGAAAAGCTAAACGATCGAGTTGAAGATGACGTAAAAGTCACAGATGGAAAACAATTTTCCAGTGAGCAGAAGGAAGAGAGCCAACCGGATGAAAAAATGTCCACGACAGTTGAGTCTGGGGCAACCACAGCACCAACCCTGCCTGAAGATGAACGCATACCTCTTGATGATATAAAAGAGGTTGTCGAAGAGAAACACATTCTTGAAGAGACGAAAGAGAAAGAATGTGAACAGCCCCAGGCTGATGAGCCCCTTCCAGAAATGGGCCAGTCAGCTAGGCCAGGTCATTTTAATATTCAAGGAGCAGTTTGCACTCTGCACCGGGACATAATCAAAACACCCGATGAGGTAGCAGATCTTCCAGTTGATGAAGAGTATGATCCTTCGATGTACTCTAAGGAAGAAATTCTGAAAAGCCCTTGTGAAGATGCTCCCCGAAAACATTCCACCTCAGGTATAGGTGAAACTGGGGCTGCGAAAGTAGCTGATGATAAAGTTGTTCCCGTCGACATTGTCAAGCAGGAAATTGATGAACTCGAGCATATCAAAGAAATGCGTGAGATGCTTGAAGACGCGGCTGGGAATGCTCCTTTTGCCACGGCTGACAAACAAACATCATTGCCAGAGGTTGTGGGGACTGGAAATGATCAAGTAAAGAGTAATCATGAAAATTACCAAGGTAAAGAAAACCGCGATGAGCAGGAAAAAGATGTTGACACTAAAGAAGTTTGCGAGAAGTCTGCGTCTGAATCCCCATCAGAGGTCAAAAAAGTATCCACGTCGGAGCTCAAAGTCGAAGAAAGGAGTGACATTTGTGTCAGCTTGGAAGAGCTGCGAATTCTTGGTCATGAGGTCGCAGATTTAAAACCACCTGAAACTAAAAGGGTCGATGCAAAATATTCTGATATTGAACCACGCAATCTTGTGGAACCAGACGTCCCAATCAAAGAAATTGGAGGAAAGCCCGTTACGATATCTATTTTACATGTGGGAGAATCCCTTGCAAGTGAAATAAGTGCGGTTGAGAAAGATAGTTCTGGAATTGCTGTTATGGGCATTCCTGAACCCCTAGAGGCTGTACAAGAAGACGTCTACTTGGAATCAAGCGTAGAGGAAGAACCAATTTATGGTAAAACAGATGCACTTACTCACCCTGAATACGTTACAGTGACCCCAGATTCATCTCCAGAGGGTCCGAAATCACCATCAGAGAAGCGCCACTCTGTTTCCACAAAAGGCAGCCGTAAATCAAGTAGTGCCGGCAAAGAAACTGACATCAAACCTGTATCAGACACAGAAAACGAGCGAGAAGTGATAAGACGAGAAAGTATTCCTGAATCTACAGTAATTGAGCCTTCTAGTCATTCGAAAGTTGACAGCAGAAGATCTAGCGGTATAGATCAAAGTAAATGTGCTGCAGATGATGAGGGGAATGCTGTTCTTTTGCCAACAACCAATGTAGAAGAAAAGTCTAGCGTAGCGGACAAAGAAGGTGCTCAGTTGGGCGTTGGCGATCGAGAAGTTAGTTCGATGGTTCAAGACACGGATGAACTTGTTTCGTCAAAACCAACGAGCAGGAAACCCAGCACCGCTATGAAAGATGAGAGTGTGCACACACCTAACAATCAATCCCATGGGGATGAACGTTTTGAAGCGCAGAAAGAATCAAGTTTTAAGACCAATGTCGATAATTTTCACGGTGAGATAAAGAAGTCTGAGGATTTGGACATTGATCCCTCTGCTAGCGTCGAACATGTCACGACGTTTGCCGAGCCTGAGTGCCTTGAAGGAGGCAAAACCGAAACCGAAAAGAACAGTGAGACTGTAACTGATGACTCTACCGTTCTGGAAAAAGTCAAATCAATGAGTGAGAAACCAAATGAGACGAAATCGGCTGAAAAATTGAATGAGTATTCCTCTGTTTTGCAAAGCCCTGACACTGATCTCGGAAAAACTTTAACTTCAGCCGCTCCTACGGTTTCAAAAGGAGATAAAGTTGAGGATATTGTCAAAGAATTGAAAGAAGAAACGCCCGAGGAGAGGAATGAAGGGAAAAGTATTGCGGAAAACGATTGCCGGTCAACGACCAAATCTCAAGATGTACCCTGCGCGAAAGGAATAACACCAACATCTTTAGGTCCACCCGACACTAAGTCCGGAACAACTCCCGATTCACCCCTCACGCCTGCTTCTTCACAGACTGGAAAAGACGACATCGAAATATGTCTATCGTCACAACCCACGAAAAAAGATATTAGTGATTCCCAAGCCACACCACAGGTAGATTCAAGCATAAGTACACCCGTGGCGCCAGGAAATGTCCCTGACCCTGTTTTGGATGCTAGTGAGACGTTACCTCAAAAGACCATATGTGACGTGACCACTAAACTGCAGGAGGGTTCTACTTCTCTCCAGGCAGATGCTTCAACAATTAAGAGCACTATAGAGGCAGAATGTACACAGAGTGCAACCACCTCGCCAACAAAGAGTGCGACCCCAAGTGCAGACGTCACATCACGACCTTCTTCAGCAGCATCTAATAAAAGTTCAACCATGGAAACTGATATATCCTCTGTTGTAGTCGGCTCAGCTCAGAGTCTTAGTTCGTCACCAACAAAAAGTGGAACTCCAAGCGCTGACGCCACATCTCGACCCACTTCATCGGCATCAAATAAGAGTGCAACGATAGAAACCGATGTATCCCCTGCTGTAGTGGATTCAGCTCAGAAATTGACGACTTCACCAACAAAGAGTGGGACCCCAAGTGTTGACGTTACATCTCGACCTAATTCAGCGGCATCCAATAGGAGTACAACAATGGAAGTTGATTTATCCTCTGCTGTAGCAGACTCAGCGCATAGTTTGACCACATCGCCAACCAAAAGTGCGACCCCAGGTGCTGATGTCACATCTCGACCTACTTCATCAGCATCAAATAAGAGTTCAACAATGGATGTTGATGTACGCTCTGCTGTAGCAGACTCTGCTCACAGTTTGACCACATCGCCAACCAAGAGTGCAACCCCGAGTGCTGATGCCACATCTCGACCTACTTCATCAGCATCAAATAAGAGTGCAACTATGGAAACTGATATATCCCCCGCTGTAGCTGACTCAGCCCCGAGCCCAACCACCTCCCCAACAAAAAATGCAACTCCGAGTGCAGACATCACATCTCGCCCTACTTCAGCGGCATCAAATAAGAGTACAACTATGGAAACTGATATATCCCCCGCTGTAGCTGACTCAACTCAAAGTTTGAGCACTTCACCAACAAAGATTGCGACCCCAAGTGCTGACGTCACATCTCGACCTGCTTCTGCAGCATCAGATAAGAGTGTGACGGTAGAAACTGAAGTATCCGCCAATGTGGTAGACGCGACACAAAGTCTGGCTGCGTCACCAACAAAGAGTGCGACCTCGTCTTTTGGAGTTACATCACGGCCTGATTCAGCAGCATCACACAAGAGTGCAACGGTGGATACTGAGGTAGCGTCTGCAGCAGCTGACGGAATCCAGAGTCTTACGACGTCACCAACTAAAGGTACGACCCCATGCTCTGAGGTCACGTCTCGACCTACTTCAGCGGCATCAAATAAGAGTATAACATTGGAAACTGATATACCCTCTGCCGTGGTAGGCACAGCTCACAGTCTGACCACGTCACCAACAAACAGTCCGTCCCTACATGCTGACGTCACCTCGCGACCAACTTCAGCAGCATCAAATAAGAGCGCAACCATAGAAACTGAGATATCCTCAGCTGTAGGAGACTCAGGTTGCAGCGTGACCACGTCGCCAACCAAAATTGCGACACCAAATGCTGACGTCACATCTCGACCTGCTTCGGTGGCATCAAATACGAGTGCAACGATAGAAACTGACATATCCCCTGCTGTAATAGACTCAGCCCACAGTCTGACAACGTCGCCTACAAAAAGTGCGACTCTAAGCGGCGAACCCACATCTCGACCTACTTCAGCAGGATCAACCAAAAGTGCAATGTCAGAATCTGAGCCCCTTCCTGCTTTGGCAGGCGGAACGCAGAGCCTGACCATCTCACCAACGAAACATGTGACTCCAAGTGCTGAAGTCATATCTCGTCATGCCTCTCCGGCAACCGAAATATGTGTGACAGAATTACAGGTGACCACTGACCAAGCAAAGGCAGAGACTCGCGCCGATTCTATTTCGTCATCACAGATGTCAGAGCCTGTCGATGGATCCCTTGCGACATCAAATATTTCACATGAATCAGTAGCTCTAGTACCTAATAAGACAGACCTGTCTGTGTCTACTGAGAAAACATTTGAGTGTTCCACTGAAACTACTTCGTCACCTTCTGCCCAATCACCAAGCACCCTTTCTAAAACAAGTCAGCATTTTACCCCAGAGAGGGTTCTTTCACCAGTAACCTCGCTGGAGGGCAAAGGAGAGGTAACGTGTGCCGGATCACCTCCTCTCGTGCAAGAAACTAAAACTACGAATGTATCGCCCCCTGCTAGCCCCCCAAGTAAGACTGTTTCACCGCTGTCACCAGATTTAAAGATGTCTCCAGAAAACGCTCCAAGTCTTGCGGCCTTGTCTGGACATCAATCCCCACCATCAGGTCCCTCGGGTGAAGAAGGAAAAAGTGGGGTTGTTATAAACAGAGACTTAATGGTCTCTGAACATACTGTGGAGCCAGATGCGCCTTCCTCTTCTCTTCCGGAATCACTGACAACAAAATCAGACGCCCCGTTGCAAACTGTTGGTTCCGTTTCCGTATCGCCCGAGCCATCCCTAAATATAAGCCATGAATTAGAATACGGCAAAACACGGAACGACGAAAACGTTACTAAGTCGGCTGAAGTCTCTCGGAAGAGCTCTGTTGTGGGTGGTCAAGACGTCTCACTTATTTTACAGGACACGGAAGACCTCTTGGCGATTGAAAATGTATTGCATCGCAATGTTATTGAGAAAGAAACAGCGGAATCATCTAAATTAAAGAAAGAAGCGGAAGACACCGAGAAGGCAGTTGTACATTCTAGTATCGATAGATGCGAAACTGACAATATGGATGATTTGATTGAAGGTACCGAGTTTAGCATTGAGCTAGGGAATGCAAGACAAGCAGATCTTATGGTTGACACTTCTGTGTCATCTTTGGAAGAAGAACGCCGCAGTGGTGCAACTACGCCCTCTATCCTCGTAACAGGATGCAAGACACTTGCTCGTCAAAGCCAACCAAGTGAATCAGACTCTGAAATGCCTGAAGAAGATTCACATAAAAGACAAGATGATAATGTGTTCGAGTCAAGTAGTCCCATAACAAACAGTCCCGCCAAACCCAAAATCGTCGCGACCTCAAAAGAGAGTGAGGCAAAGCATTCAGGTGAAGAGGAAACCTCTGTTGCCCAAACTGTTGACCAGAAGGTCGCTGGAGACACCCAGACTTCTAGTATAGACAAGGGAATTCTGACTTCAACTCAAGAATTTTTGATAACGGAGACCGAGAGGCATACAGACACAAATATTGTATGTTCAGGGGCGGTTTTAGTGAGCAATTCCTCTGAGAATGTACCAAAGCAACCCAAATCTGCAGATAGCCATGGAATTTCAGACGCTGTCGGCATCTCATCGACAGTCTTTACTGAAATTGCGGCTGTCGAGAAGGCAGAGGCTGCTACGAGCCCAATGACCCCACTTGAACCTGGAAACAAGACAGAAACTGGCGCTGATAGTTTTGTAAAAGAAGCAACCAAGTCCTTTATTTCATCTGAAAAATCGGTTTCTGGTGGCGCTAAAGAATTATGCGTTATGAGTACGGATAGCTCCCGTACTGAATCTACCGAAAGTAAAACATCCATAGAGCCAGAGGCAAAAAGCAGTTTTATAGGCGTTACGTCCGCGACAAGTAATGTGTCGATTGTGCAGCAAGATAGTATTAAAAAAGTATCGAGCGACGAACATGCTGCATTAACGATTTCTCGTGATGGTGGTTCAGACCTGGGTCATCAAGAAACCGAAGAGGAACGCAAGACTGAGTTTGAACATGAATCAGAAGAACCTGAATTTACTTTGGTTTCCAAAAGTGTGCACGAAGAATACATAAATGTTCCTGCAAACGAAAACGACGGTGATTGCAAAAAACTTGCAGCTACAACCACAGTTTCAACATTCACTGCAAAAGATGTCAGTGATTCCCCAAAACATGGTGACATTACCAAGACAGTCACAACAGTTACAAAAGTTACAAAAAGTGGTGATGGTGCTGACTCTGTTGAAACGACAACAACTGAAGAAGTGCAGTCAGAGGGAAAAATTACATCAGTTACTACAAAAACAGAAAGTTCCCCACTCCATAAAAGGTCAGCCACCGAACCAGAGGACTCTCTAACCGTAACTTCTGCCTTTGATTCATCAAGTTCGGTAAACCGGTCACTTATTGACGAAGGAAGTGACACGTCTGGAGCGAAGACTGAGGCTGGCCTACTTCTGCAGTCTGCCGTAGTTAATGTTGTTGATGGAGTTGCTTCAGTTGCAAAACAGGCCACTGATGGGTTTGAGGATGCAATGGCCGCTGGTTTAAGTCTTTTGACCTCTGTCGTTGGCGTGAGGAAGGACTCCCTTGAAGCAACGCGCAGTTGCACCCCAGGCTCCGATGTGGAAATTGAGCCATCAACTCCGCGGAGTGATGTCAGTAGCGGACAAGTGTCGCGGGCACCTACTGACTACCGCCTTGAAAGTGAAGATGAAGATGGAGTGGGGTCTCCAACTAGTTTAACTTCTCAATTAACACATTCGCCCCCTCCCCCACACTTTGATTTTGATATCGGCGATCCCCATAGAACGATTGCAGGTGGACTCGCAGGAATTCGTGATGATCAATACATGCTTGAATCTCGCACGTCCACAAGTCAAGTGCGCAGACAGACAATTGCAGACCCAATGACGACTTCTATGTATAGTGTATTTTCTAATGAGCCACTTGCTGAATCATCTGAACGGCAAACGGATCAAAAGCTCGATCAGTCGAGTTACATGCAACTGTCGGAAGTAATCGAAGAAGCTAGTAAGTCAACTTCTGAATATCAATCTGGTGACATTATGAGCACCAGTGTGGTCAGTAGTCTTACATCTGACAGAGCAAGTTTTGACCAGGCAGTCGAGGAGCACAGAGCAGCAAGAGGTTCGGACTTGACGCGCAGTACAGAAAATATCCACACTTTGCACGAAGAAAAGCCTGACGCTTCATCCGCAAATGTATTTAAGTCAGTAGTACTCTCTGAAGGGCCTGGAACTAGTTTGCAAGCTCCAGTTGAAGGAATGCCACCGGGCTCAGGTAAAGAACCGCAGGGTGCAAGAGTTTCTGATTTGGCGTCTCTACCGACGATTCCTAAAGATCCCATAGAAGATTGGGGGAAACCATTGGGATTACCCTCGCCTGCACCCCCGCCATCAAATACAACCGAGGAATCAGCACCCTCCCCTAAAGGAACGCCACAAAAGGATAAACTAGGTAGCAGGAAAGCAGTTTCTGACAACAAAAGGCGGCCCGAATCGCCACGCAAAAGTCATAGAATAAGCAAAGGAAATCCCATTTATATTGACCTGACTTACGTCCCACACCATGGCAATTCGTATTACGCATCTCTGGAATTCTTTAAACGCGTAAGGGCTCGCTACTACGTGTTTAGTGGAATTGAGCCTAGTAGAGACGTATACAATGCCCTGCTTGAGGCCAAGCAGTCTTGGGAAGACAAAGATTTAGGTAGGTGCCATCTTCTACCGAAATGAAATTGTGTAACAAGTGTGACATTGCATTGGGTGAGAATACGTTTTGTTATGCATTCTCCCAGTCCTAAAATCCCATGCGCTACATGGAATTCCATGATCACTATTCCATGGCAGAGGGACCGTTTTCCATTTGTGGCTGCTCACTTTCCATGTGGAGCCTCTTTTCCATGAGGAAGCGGCTTGGCCCTCCATGGAAATTAATGTCACCAGGGGGTCGGAACTAGCTTTCCATGGGACGTATCATGGAAGTAGTGCAGAGGCTACCATGGTGTGTCTTTCGCCATGGTGTTGGTCTTAACTCCATGGAAAAACAAATTCCCATGAAAGTTAAGAATGCTGTAAAATCTGTGTTAAATTGAATATCGGTCTAAAACTTGGCAGCTAGCGCCTCGGTCGAATTTTAGTAGGGCCATTTTGATCTCATACAAATTTGAGCACTTTTTCCTGGTATCTCGTAAACGGCCATAGCTACGTTGAAACAGACAGTGGATTCGGCTCCGCCTCAGTTCTGACCCCTCGAAAATATGCTTCGCAATCCTCTGTAAAACTGACTTTGACTTAGGCAACCGACGCTGCTCTTTGCTTTACCATGGTAAAGTTGTCCATGGGCTTAGTAGTGTTCCACGGAGATCAACACCATGGAGTTTCAATACGTGCCCATGGAAGAAACACTCATGGAAAAGCGGCAAAAAATACATGGAAAGTTCTCCCTTGGACAGTTGATGTTCCATGACGTTCCATGACAACCCATGGGTCATGGAAAGCTTCATGGGATTTTGGGACTGGGCCGAAGAGGTACCCTAGCAGCACAGAATTGTCGTACGATTGTCGGGCAACAGTAGAAAAAAGATACGAACTATCGGTGCGATATGCGAAATGAAAAAATGATTCTACCGGTATACTATCTTTTTTCCTCGAAACGAAATTATTTGTCAGCCAGCTATCGTAATGGAAGCGAAAAACCCCACTTTTTTGGATTCGATCAGGAATCGATAAAAATACAACAGAGTGGTAGATGGTTTAAATTTGATATACCAGCGACAATCGTTTATGGAAAAGCCATCACTTTTGGATTTTCGTTATCGTCACAATAATTGGACGATAGATAAAAATCACACTATGTGCGACAGTTTTGTGTTACTAGGGCATCTACTAGCCAAAAGGGCATTCTAATGGATAGCCGAACGGTTTGAGAAGAACAAAACCGGAAGATAGAAAGGCTCCCGCGCAACCATGATAGTAGGACCTGAGATGGAGATCCGGCATGGGGCCCCGATCCACTCCGCCACTGCGCGCTGTGACGCGTAACTCCCTTTCAAGATAACTAACATACAAGAGGGAAACTGTTTCAGAATTTAGAATGTCTGCTGATCTGCCGCATATAAGAAAATTGTCGAATAACTGTCTGGAAGTGGAGCCCAAAGTTACGCCGCTGCTGTCGCAGAGCGAGCGCCTCTGGCAGCCACCGCCTGCAGGCAAGATCTTAGCCGTTCCGGGAGTGTTTTCTTTCTTCTCTATCCTGGGCGTATTCTCATTGATTTTATTTCTAAAGTAATGAAAATGCTGCACTATTGGGAGCATATTCTATGTCAAACTCCTTTAGTTATCAATATTGAATGTATTCGGAGTAGGAAGAAGAAAAACAACAATTCCGGAACGGCTTAGATCTTGCCATCAGGCGGTGTTGCTGAGAGGCACCGGCACCGTGACAGCGGCGGCGTAATTTTGGCTTCCATATCTCAACTTCCACACTGTTGTTCGACAATTCTTTTATATGCGGCAAATCAGCAGACATTCTAGATTCTTAAACAGTTTTCCTTCTGAGTGTAAGTTATCTTGGGAGTTACACGTCGCAGCGCGCAGTGGCGTAGCGGATGGGGGCCCCATGCCGGATTTCCATCTTAGGTCCTACTATCATAGCGCCGCTAACCAGTCCTCCTCTGGCCTGAAGTCAGTGAGAATAGGGGAACGGCCAGGGAGGAGCGGGAAGCCGGGGAGCCTTTTCGTCTCCCGTTTGTGTTCTTCCCCCTTTCATTTGGTGCTCCATTGGAATACCCTGTGAGAAAAACGCATTTCGCGTAAAGAGTGTATGATGAAACGTTTTCGCACTAGAGTGCACCACGCATCACAGCGACAGCGACAGTTTGGGAATGGAGACCTAGTACATGCCAAGTTAGCACGATCCAAACCCCTGTGGTTACGGGTTGACTTAAAACTTTCTGAATCGTTAGAATCAAGGTTAAACACGGGTTTGTTTGATAGGATTTGTTACAATAGTAACAGAGAGCAGAGATATGAAAGCTCAAAAATAAAAACCTGCCAGAGCGGCGCGCGAGGTCACTTATTTTCTGATATTTTCAAAATTACATATTGGATCGTATATCTAAGAAGAGCACTGAAAAGAGCACAAAAAATTGATTTGCTCCACTTTCCAGCTGTTGCTCTTGTGAGCGTGGCAAAGTTGAATCTAGCTTTGTGTTTACGGTGTAATGTTTGTTATTACGTGCAATTTAAAATTTGTTAACCTTATACCTCCTTTCTGCAGAAGTCACAATAATTCCAACATATGATACCGACACTCTTGGATATTGGGTTGCTGAGAACGAAGATGCTTTAGCAAAGTACAAAATCGACCTTTCACCGTCAGCTTCAAGGTGCACAATCAACTTGCAAGACCATGAAACTAGTTGCTCTGCATACCGGTTGGAATTCTAAAGAGGGTAGTTTATGTGGTTACCTCCTGACTATAGGTAACTGGTGCTAATATAGAAGTAGCCATTTATATGCGATTGTTTTATTTTGTGTTCTTTCGGATTGTTTAGTGAAATGCACAATTTTGTATTACTTCCTTACTTTCAGTCAACCAACAGTTGTTGAAAGTTGATTGAAAAATTAAGCAGAGGAGCTGGCTGATTCATTGGGAAAACTATTTACAGATTGAAATAGCTTCAAAACAGCCCCAAAAAGACGTGTCATAATATTGGGAGAAATATTTTTGAACGCGTTTTATCGTTCGAATATCATGCCTGTTTCATGAAAATTTCCTGAACAACGCTACAGCCAACTTAAGTGGTTTACTTTTACCAAAAGCAGGTGTCTGTCTAGTAATTACAGAACGTGTCAATGTTTGGACAACGCAAAAATTGCAAATTTCAATAATACTACACATGTTAAGCTTTTGAGTAAAAATATTGCGCAATGCTTTTGATCTCACAGACCCGTCCTTATTCTACTTGTCCGTAAAAGCTAATGACTGATGTTAAATCAAACCGCCTTGTTTGCTTCCGAGCCAATTGAATTGACATCCTTCCTCCGTAGGGACCACGTGGTCAAAATGTTACATACAAGTAATTTGACAATTTGGGAAGTTCTCAATATTATTCCAAATTAAAAACAAGTTTTCTAGACCAAAATCACAAGAGTTGGGTCAAGGACAAGGATTTGGTTGTAGTATACACATTTTGTATTGTACGGTGGAAGGATGCATTTTCTGTACTTCATAACCAGCTCCTCCTGTGTGGGTTGTATCACCCACACCACGCCGACTTGAAAACGCTGTTCAGTCTTTGCACTTGTTCCAGATTATTTCGAAAGTCATCGACAAGTACAATGCAATTTTATAAATTTTGTGTGCACTTATTTATGTGGATACTGGTCGTGTCAAGCGTCAGCGTATGAAAGTAACTGGGACAGAACCATCTGTGGATCCCAAAATATAGTTGACATCGTAAAGACTGATCAGTTCATTTTCTTGTGGTGGTAGGTCACGCCTCCACCTATCACTGAACGAGTATAGGGTATGCACCACATTCGTACCGCGTTAGGCAAAGGCGACCCATTTATGCATTAATGATTGGACTCCACAGATTCTTGAATGGTTACTACTTCAAATTGCCCGATATGGGAGTTTATGATCGACGCATCAAAAAGCGCTCGATATTTGATTGAAGTGATGCTACTTCACGCACCTATTGCTTCCTCTTTATTAGTCATTGAACTAATTTTTTCTGAGTTCTTGCTAACCTTTACCAGGTTTTGGTGGTTATGCACAGACTCTACCTTTTGTTCTAGGTAGATGTACAGTAATCATTAGACTGTTATTAAACGAGCGGTTCTATTTGTGAAGGACTACGACTGACTTACTGGAGAGTGGAGATTTTTAATTTACTAGGAATGTCTACTAATGGTTGAATGAAATGAAATCTTGTATAAACGTACACGGAAATCGTGGTGGGGAAGGAAAGAAGAAATGATACAAAGTATGCAAATTCCCGAGAATTTGACAGTGTTATAGGCCGTGCGCTTTAGGATATTCAAATTATATGCATTCTTTCAAATTTTATGTGATATTCATTGAATTTTCTTGTGGCGTACACTTCGCTCAAGTGTAACTTATGTTATTTTAAACAATTAAGCTGCATTTGTGATTATGGCGAAATGTGCAATCAGATATGAGTGTTGCTGCTTCAACGTAATTAATTTTCTGTCTCATTCTGTTTACACATTTAGCCAGACAATAGGCCACTTTATGGGTTCACTTTTCTGCTCCACCACCGAGGTTGTGACAAACAGCAGCCAAATAAATGATAAAAGTAGAACTCACGCAGAAAAGTAGATATCCATATTGTGGCCCGGGTAACACAGAAATGGTGTGATGCATGTGATACGAATGACGGCAGAGTAGTGTATTCTTGTTAAAGCTTATTATAATTATTAAAGAATACCATAGCTTTTCAACCACTTCATTTTATCTATGTTTGCTGCTTTTATATTTTCAAAAGCCGTTCTTATGCTCGTGTTTATAGGTATCCGACTATAGGGTCATGGAGGGAAAATGAGCAATAGTTATCATCTTTGCAGTCAAACCTTTAAGAGACTGGTAGAGTAGACTGGGTTCCTGTTTTTTTAAATGAAATAAGCCGTAGAAATTGTCTGAGTTATCATCAGACAATATTTCCTGCCGAGGAAAAGGTTTGCCCTGGTCATCGTGCCTGTGTTGATATCCAGTGGCAGATATGTTGTTATCAACTTTGTACTAAATTTGAAACGTGAGTGGATATGTACGTGCTGGTATATTATGTGGTCTCTGTGCCCAAGGCACTGTTGCACTTCTTTTAAACTTTTGTATGCCATTTTAATTTTGTTTCCTCGACGCTCGACTTCCAGGAAATCTTCATATTGTAACTTTATACCATATCTGGATTCTTTTAGTACTGTACGCTCAGAAACTGAATATTCCGAAAACACTAAGTAGCAACACTAAAGAAACTGTAAAACTACTAGCTTTCACATCTGTTTTGTGTCTTTCTTATATCATTCGATACAACTGCTGATGTTTATCTTGCTGGAAATGACATGTAGAATAACTTGGTATACTTAACGAATTTAAGTAGAAGTTCAACTATTGCTGGGACTTTTTAATTCTTCTTTCATTTATTAACAAAACATTCGTTGTTTAGTTTTTTATGTACAAAATATTTCACATTTATTATACTTGTTACATAATGTATAATTTCTCTGGCATTCATTAGCATGAAAAGCTTCTTTGGGCCTGGGATCTGTCAGTTTTTAAATAATTGCTACTTACTCGAAAAAAATCAGGTTTTCCAAAAATATCGGCTTTGAAAAAGAATTTACTCTTGTCTTCCCTGCCTTGTTCGTACGGGCAGAAAATTTTGGTATGCCTGGTTTCATGAAGCTATGTGTAACAAAAACAGCCAGTTTGGTTTCGTTTGAATAAAAATTCGAGTGGTAAAACCAGAGAAGAAGCACTTCGTTAACCAGTTATGACGTGGCACGTGGCAGCCTTGAAAATGTTGTGCGAAAGATTTTGTCAGCCATAGCTTATTTATTGATTATACATTTGAGATACCTTAGCCTCTAAGAATGCTTCTAGTCAATGTGAACAATCTAATTTGCTTCTTAAAAATAACAGTATTGAGTTTTAATATCTGACAGATGAGCGTTAGAACTAACGAACAAAATAAAGATCACGGTGAAACCTTGACTGGGCTGTCTGACATAACCCTATATCACAATACTCTTTACTGGCTTCGGACGTAGGGTGGGTGCAGCAGAACGTGCATCGACTAAGATGTGTGTGATGTCATAAAACCGGCATAATGGACCCAACACGCATTCTATCCACACTGTAAAAAATGGTTGCAGGTTTAACTGTATCGTAAAATTTCAATTCATAATTTTAAAATAAGCACAGTGTCATTACTGCACTGTGCCATAAATTTGCAACATATTTTCTAAATATTAATTTAGCTTTAAATATCTTACGTTTGTGACGTCATTTTTCACAGTGCATTTGTCCACTTAAGTGACACAGTCCTTACCTTCAATAACAATGTTGTTACTATTCAGTTAATACAATGGGGTCTAAAATACAAGTCTTCTTCGAACTGAGTACTCATTTCACTGTATGTTTCAAATGAAGACAAATATAAACTAGAATGTTTTAAGGATTGGACGCTGGGCGTATCGAGATGAGGGCCTGCGAGGTAACCCAAGCCAGACGAGCAAAGCAAGGTGACCAAGTCAACCAAATGTTTATAGGCCGCCTTAAATACACCACATGGCTTTCAATGGGATACATTATGTCACCGAAGCGGGATTCTGTCGGGTCTTTTTTTTTTTCCTCCGCGGTCGCCCCGCTTAAGTCACCTTGCCTCGAGTCGCCCGGTGGTCGCTAATTGTGGCTATGCTACCTGAAATTTAACATTGAAACGCATCCATTGCCACTACCAGATGTCCCCACAGTGATGTTTTATGGTTCCAAGAACCTAAAAACTAAACTCTTTTTTGGAAAGAAATAGGTGGGAAGCTATACGCACGGTAAACTCCTATATTAGAGGAAAACTCCAGGTATGAGGAATCTTCTCCAAAAAAGGGGGGGGGGGGGATCGCACATTTTTAAAGGAGGCTTCCTTGAAATGTGGGGATTTTTCCTCGAAACATGGGAGTTCGCAAAGTTTTCCCTTTGCCCTCAACACATGAGACATTGTTTATACTTATCAGCTCATTGGACAGCGCTTTAAAGTGTGTCACACACAACAGTGTGACAAGGACACACACACTCTCACTCCATTAACGTTTTTTTTCCAATCATAAGTCAGTATTCATGCAGTTTAAAAGCCTTTATTATTAGCTACTGACAAAATTATCACCTCTAATACGAAGTAATTCCTTCATAAACTTCTTACAAATTCTTCTGTTATCAGTAAGCTACGCACAAAAGACTACTGTATAAATGAATCAGTAACAAATTAGTCCGTAATTCCAGCGGCACCTAATAAGAGAGAAGTGAGTACAGGTCTGAGAGTGCAATCTTTTATATTGATGCACACGTCACTGTGTTACACACTTTTTCTGTCAAAGCACTTTTCACATAATCACATTCTCTTTTAAAATTATCTTTTATTTATAACTTGAACGTTTCCTCACCACATAGAGTTATAACGTAACGTAAGTGTTGTATGCGTGGCTTCAGCCCTACTCCATCAGCGATACTCCACGCTGAATAACACTGGTAAAAGCTGGACTGGTGGTGCCGCCCAACGGAAGTCCAGGCTACTAGGCTGTCGTCAGTACTCCATGCAGAAACGAGGGGTATACAGACCAAACGCGGTGTATAATCTACATGTAGGAGGAGGGCACTAGGGCGGAATGCATTTAAACAGTTGAGCACAGGTGGGCCGGGCACGTCCGAATATAGTTTTTGCGCAGAAATACCTTGAAACAATAAAGTTATGCTCTTTTTGGACTTACGTACGTCGTTATGTTGGTTCACCAGTAAAATAGTAATAAGGTTCACCGGAAAATTTTCTTTGACGCATGTTCGCTCTGCAGCACTGCCATCTTTTAATTACGGCAGTAGAGAAAACGTTGAAATTGATATGTGTTTCTTGATCTTTAAGGAACACCTGGCAAGTTTCACTTTTTCTCTATTGCCGATATTATCCAACTCGCAATTAAAAGAAGGCAGCGCTGCACAGCGAGCGGCAAAAGGAGATCAGACAACGTAAGAGTGTCACTGGGAGATCGGGCGACGTTAGAGCGTCGCTAGGAGATTGGACGACGTTGGAGCGTCACAGGGAGATCGGACGACGTTAGTAGGACCCGTCGAGCAACAAATTGGTCTAGACAATCAGAGGCCGCTTATACTGCATTTTTAGAGCAAAGCCTACTACCCCAACCGGCAACTCCATTTGGGACAATTTGCTTGATCCTTTAATAATTGATCTCCCACGTTTACACGCAGTAGGTGGCAACTACTCCTGAAGGGGATAAAAGGTAGTACCCAAATAAGCGAGTAGGTTCAAAAAGTAGGAAAAGAGTGCTTTTTCTCGGACCAATTTTCCCTTGTCTTAACTGAATTTCCGACGAACTACCGATGAATGCCGTCCTGGTAGACAAGTAAAACAGAAGACGGGAAAACTATTTACAGTTGAGTAGAAAGGAAAACTCATTAGAGAAAATTATTGATAACGGGCAACCACCAACTGACTACATTCTGTTGGTACCACTCTTAACCCGCGTATGCATGTGCCCTAGGCCGTTTCATTTTGGAGGCTCAGGTTTTCGATCATACCGTAACGCATTTAAAATGCAAGGCAAGTGTAAATTCCCGATCGTGCCCAAACTCGGTGTGACTGCTTCTTATCTATGTAGGTGGCGAATGCTGACCGAATTTTTTCCTGAGTGTCATATGCCAAAACTCCCAACAAAAGTGTAAAATTTCGACAATACAAATCTCTACTCTTTGACTAATAATTAGTGTTATTCTGATTCGAAATGAGCGGTTTGGGGTGGAGGAGGGTAGTTCCTCGGCCACTTTTCGATTGCAGACCTCCTTCAATATTTTTTCCAATATTTGCTCCCCTAAAGTACCCTAGAAATTGACACTCAGGAAAAAAATTCTACCGTCATTCGTCATCAACTCATATAGGAAGGAAATATACTGAGTTTGGTCAAGATCGGGACTTTACATTTGCGAAAGTCCCCTTGTTAGGATAATGGTTTTTGGTCTGCAGTTGCAACTGAGGAATGTTTGAGTTCGCCCTATACAACAGCGGAGCTAAGTGTTCGTCACTTACAACTATAGAAAATTTTTGCACTTCGATGCGCCCTAACGAACGAGGGGGGGCTCACTCAAACAAAATGTGTACAATGATTTTTTGATTTTTGATTATTTTTGATTTTTTTGATTTTTGATTTTGATTTTTCTTTTGATTTTTCAGCTATGAAAAAGACAATAACAGTTAAATTTACAAAAACTTCGTGTTTTTTCTTGTTTTGTGCCCATTTTTCTCAGTTTTGGGGTCGTTTGTTCTCGATTTTTCGGATTTTTATGCAACTTTC